ACACAGAGAGAGAGAGAGAGAGAGAGAGAGAGAGAGAGAGAGAGAGAGAGAGAGGGAGAGGGAGGGCAAGGGGTTTCAAGTAGTACTGCGGAGATCGGTTGTATTTCGACTTTCACTTTCATTCAGATGCTCTGTTCTCCTCCGGTCGTCTTTTGTCATTTATGCGAACGAATGTTTTGTCTGTACTTGAACCACCACTGCCCATCGGATCGTGGTTGCGGCCGAGATACGTACCCCGCCACAGGTAGAACATGAATTGGACATGCCGGTCGGTACATCGACAGCATGGGACCTCCCCCCCCCCCCCCCCCCCCCCCCCCCCCCCCCCCCCCCCCCCCGGGCATATACTGGCGTACGACGATGGGGAGCTGTTCCGGTGTAGTGGTGCCTTAGGAGGGAAAGTAGATATCCATTCAGCAGCATGCAGCATGGTCCACCAAGATTCAGCAGGATCCCGGAGGATTCCGCAGGGTCCGGCAGGAATCCGCAGGATCGTGCACGATTCAGCAAAGATTCCGCCCGATTCGATAACGTTTCTACAGGATTCCGCAGGATTCTGCAGAGATCGTGCATGAATGAGCAGGATTGTGCATGATTCAGCAGTGTTTCTTTTTTTTTTCTTCCATGACCGGGATCTGGTAATTTAACGATGGAATAATGCTGTATATCACTCATCTGCTTCCGGCGGAGTTCGAACTCGGGTCTGTATTTCAGCAGTTCAGGAGGTGTACCAACTGTGAGGGTTTCGACTTAAAAAAATCTGAATCTTACTTTCAACAAGGCGAAATTGATCGATGTCGACATACTGTAGATAGATGCCGGTCCTTCACAGCTACGCAGGGAGCGGTATAGACTTGTACTATCTTCGCGTGCGTGTTTTTGTCATTAATGGTATCTTTTTGTGTGCATTCGCATTTCAATCACCGATGTAATCGGCTTCTCAAAAAAAATTTCATTTCATTGGTTGTGTCTTTCGTGCGATCGATTGATCGATCGATTATATCAGTCAATTGCATTTGCATCGGGCCGCGCTCCGCTACTTACGAAATGTGCAAAGTGAGGATGAATCTTCCGCTTGAACATGGAAAGATGCACCGCCATACTTCTGTGTTTTGTGCATGTGGTGAGTAGTGGAGCGAGGCCCATTATTACTGTAAGTAGTTGCGTGTCCATCGTCAATAAATAATAGGTCATTTGATTTTGCCTCTTTAGGTAACCAAAGTCAGAGCTACGTCATCCACCGTCGATCTGATCTGCATCTAGGGCGTTCCGCCGTCGACAGCGTGCACGAGTATCAAAAGTGAATTACTAGAATTACATAATGTAAGTTTTCATATCAGATTTCGTAGACGTTTATGCCGATGGCGATCAGTCGTTAACGGCTTGGGAGAGCTCACGTCTGTGCGGGGTGTCCGTGGGGTGTTGTGTGTGGTGTGTGTCGAGTTGGACACTACCGCGTTGCAGGGGTGGGATGGATATCCCGGCGGCCGGTATGAAAATTCCACTTTTGAACACCGTGTCCTGTCCTGGCTGTTGTGTTTACGACACGTGGCTTTCCACTTTTGAACACCGTGTCCTGTCCTGGCTGTTGTGGTTACGACACGTGGCTTTTCTAGAGGCCGAGGTCGCCGATTCGAAGCCGTGAGACTTGGCTCTTGAGGGCGAGGTCGACGGCTCGAATCCGTGCTGTTGCACGGAGGGGGGTCTGCTGGGCCCAGGGCCTAGATGGAGGTATGGATCTATGACTACTGGGAGATCACCTTGCAGTCATTCCTTCATTCCATCCCGCTCGCCGACAAGGTGTATTCATTTATGATTGAGGGAGGACTGGATTTTGTCGTTTTCTCGGTACACGAGCGTCATGAAAATTCATTTTCGCGGTCGATAAACAATCGGTACACTCAGATGTCTTTTTTGTTTCGGATTATCACCGTTTTTTTTTTTTTTAAGGGATGATTCTGTGGCGTAGACATCCGACCCACGTGGCCTCGTAGTATACGAACAAGATAGGGGGCTTTTGTCAGCAGAGCAAGAGCCGAGACCACCACTCATCAAATGTGCAAAATGAATGAATGTTCCGCTACGACGTAATTTGTCTTGTCTGCATGTGGTGTGAGTGGGGTGGAGCGAGGCCCTAAGGCTTTTGTAAGCCCCACTGACTTGAGCCGGCATTTCTCCCCCCCCCCTTCTCCTCTCTCGTAATAATTCATGAGGTTCAACTGCCCACCAATCTCGAGACTCTTAGCTGTAAAAAACAGCTGCACACGCGGGACTAGGTCCCACTACTGTCTTCACCCGCCCGGTAATTAGAGCTGCATTTGGCACACCTTTCAGTCCAGATGCAGTGAAAATTACAGAGGTGTTTTATTCGGGTGAAGACGGGTAGCAAAGGGGATTAGTGGATTAAGTGTCTGAATGTGCGCGTGCTCTATGCAGAGATACAGAAAACCAGATCGATCGCGATTTCGTGCTCCTCTCCGAAAACGTGTCCACATTCAGGTGTGAAATTCCGTCCTCTTTGCTAGTGGGACCTTGCCCCCGCCCTCATCTCGGGGGGCCAACGATGCGGGATAATAACTACAAACACCTTGTAGATAGAATCTGATTAAAAGTTTTAAGGAATCTTTGCAATATCCAAGTTCACCCAGGCCAATTTTTTGGCATGTGGTTTACGGTTTACCCGATTAATCACGAAATACAGATCTATCAGAGAGAGAGAGGATTGGACGATTTGAGTCTCACCCAGTCTAGATATTGCGCCGGACAAAATCAGAGAGAAAGAAGCTCTTGGGAGAAGAGTATCGTCTTCACACAAATAGAACGCGCCAGGTCATTATCGCCGTATCCAGACTGAAAGTTGCACCGAATGCAGCTAAATGACCGGGTGTTATTTTGGGGTGCAGACGGTAAGGGGAGGGGTCCGGATGCCTACCGCCTTCACCCGACTACGACGTACGGTTATTATACCTGCTGTATTTGGGGCAACTTCGAGTCTAGATACAGCTGTAAAGATAGTACGCTGCTGTATTAGGGTGAAGACGGAAGTAGTTTAGGGAAGGAACCAGCAACCCGGGGCGGATCGCTCTCGACCACTCCAGACCGTCTCTTAAACCACCAGTACTTCCAAAAGTCGTGCCCCCTGTTGTCGTCACCACGATTTTAGGAAATGTACGGGCCACTACAGGAGCGTCCAAATTCATCCAACTAGAAACGTTTCTACTCTAGTTTTGTCCACGGCCGATAGCTGGGCCAAGTACTGGTGGTTTAAAAAAATTATCGATTTATTCCTGGGCACCCTTGCGCGCATTTGCCATGCTACCAATCTTCTCTTCTCGGTATCGATCCGATCTCTCGTCCAAATCCAGGCTCAGGATTTGGGGGGGGGGGGGGGGGGGCGCAAAGAAAAAAACGTTGTTTGCTTTGGATGAGGCTTCTGGGTCTCTGATTTTGGATGAGGCTTCTGGGTCTCTGATTGCTGTCGGTCGTAAAGGAATGGGGTGGAGGGGCCGACGTCCCAATTTTCGAATTTCTGAGAGTTTTAACTGAGTGCATTCTACTCACACTGCTGGTAGGCCCTTATGATCGCAGAGTCGCAGAATAGCAGGATCAGCGGCCAGATCGAGAGATCGAGGCCGTCTAAAAGGACGACTCGATTTGGTCGCCAAAAAAAATGAATTTGTGAACTGAGTGGATTCTACTCGCACTGCTGATAGGCGGCCCTCATGATCGCAGAGGCGCAGAATAGCATGATCAGCGGCCTGATCGAGAGATCGAGGCCGTCTAAAAGGACGACTCGATTTCGCCGCGGCTGATTTTGCGATTCTGCCCTCGATCCGGCCGCTGCTCTTGCGACGATCCTGCCATCCTGCGATTGTGAAGGAGAAGATCTGGGGTCGGATCATTTGTGCGATTCTGCGATTATAAGGGCGTAGTGTGAGTATATACTACTGCCTTATAATCGCAGAATCGCAAAATCAGCGGCCAGATGGAGAGATCGAGAGATCGAGACCTTCTGAAAAAAAGAACGACTCGATTTGACCGCTGATTTTTATGAGATTCTGCGCTCTATCTGGCCGAACCGATTTTGCGATTCGGCGATGGTAAAGGACTTGATCTGGGGTTTGTTTTTTTGTGATTCTGCGATTTATAGGTGCCTACAGTAGGTGAGTATACCCTATGGGGTGAGGGTATCTGCGAATGTTTTTTTTTTTTTTTTTTTTTYTAAATTKTAATKBTTKTTTTAGGAATKTTTTKTCCGAGCCACACTTTTWCAATYTTCCTCCYCCCCCCCCCCCCCCTCCCCCCTGGCTGAGTGGGTGTGTAGAGTGGGTAGTGGGTGTTATGACTGTGTTAGATTTGTTTCTCAGACGTTCTTCTACCGTTCTTGTCCGAGGTTTGGACCGGCAGTCTGCTAGGATTGCTTGCAAGGTTGGTGGGATTAAAGAAGTCGACCACTTTTCTCTCCAGGGTGGGTATCGCTAACTCTGGGGGATGTGGTGAGTCCTTATCCATAAGTCAAATGCATCCTGGGCAGACTGTCTGTCCAGGTTCAACCTCCTGATGAGTCGGAGAAAGTCCGACGAAACAGGCTGGGTCTGGCACAGTCCTGCTTTTGTTATTTGAGTGTATGGCGAATATGACAACACACACACACGTACGTTATTCTTGTAGGACGGGTCATATGCACTCTTGCGTGCTCCGCTCCTTCCCCCCGGCGGCGCACACACACAGGAACGTAGACATTTTCTGTTGTTGTATGGTCGAATCATAATATTGCTTGTTGTTTTGTCGCTCGTCTGGCGATAGCTCAGATGTTCGACCATTCTGTTTGGTGATAGCTTATACTGAAGAGCTTCTTGATAGCAACGTCGTCTTTTTATCAATCTGCGTAATGGTGGTGTGTTCGTTTGGCAATCTCTCATGTAGTGTCTTGAATCGAATCGAATCCGAATCGAATTGAATCCGAATCGCATCGAATCCGAATCGAATTGAATTGAATTGAATCGAATTGAATCATTGAATCGAATTGAATCGAATTGAATCGAATCGAAATTGAAATTGAATTGAATTGAAATTGAATTGAAATCGAATTGCATCGAATCGAAATTGAATTGAATTGAAATTGAATTGAAATGAAATTGAATTGACATCGAATTGAATTGAAATCGAATTGAATTGAATGCCTGGTCTTCGTTCTATGGTTTTGCTGCAGAGCTGGGGTGCAGCGGTCGAGCAGTCTTAGGCATGCCTGGTCTTCGTCAATGAGCAGCGTAAGGCACTTCGCCTCTTCTGTGCCAGATAAGGTCGATTTTGACACGGACGTTAACTTGCAGAAGGCTCGGACTTGGGATGAAGGCCTCAAGTCGAATTTTGCGACCACCTCGATGAAAGAGCTTTTCGGTGGGAAAAAGGTGGTGGTGTTCGGTCTTCCTGGGGCCTTCACGGGTGTGTGCTCGGCTCAGCATGTTCCCAGTTACGTGAAGAGAGCTGACGAACTGAAGAGCAAAGGAGTAGATAAAATCGTCTGCGTAGCTGTGTAAGCAAGCCTTGGATCTCTTTTCTTACCTTTTTTCTCTTCTTTTGTTTGGATCTCGCTCTTTTCCTCTGTTTTTTGCTGGGGTGCTCAATTTATCCCTCTTTAGCTAGACTAGCAGAGTGGTCCGGGAGCAAAATGCCCGGCACACCCCCCCCCCCCCCCCAAAAAAAAAAAAAAAAAAAAAAGTATATATATATATTTTCGACGTGAATGAATTTTTGCGAGCGTTGTCGAATCATACTTTATTCTGGATTATTGACCGACTCTCGTGTGACACCTGTCGGGACAGAGACGCGGTGCGCCTTGGCTGTGGAATGCATCATCTATGCCATAGCCATTATCAATCTCTGCCGCCGTCTGTCCTGAAGGGTGTCCAACATTTCCTCATTGTACACATCCCTATCACCCAGATATACGTTGTCCCTATTGTGCCCAAGGACGCTATCAGAACTGTATGATGCCGCACTGTGATGAACGTCCTGCTGTGTTTTTGACATGTGGACAACACGTCCTCTGTCAGAACTGTTTTGATGGGATGGTTCGTGCTAGCCGTCCTGCAGAATGCTGTGCTGGCGCAGCTCTCCTTGGGCATCCTTGTGAACATCCACATCATCCTCACCGTAGCTGTCCTATCTGCCGAGGTGGGGGCAGGTAAAGAAAAAAAGAAGAAAAAAAAAAGAAAAAAAAAGAAAAAAAGAAAAAAGAGAAGAAAAAAAGAAAAAAGATACGTTGATCTGTGGGATGTGTTATTTGCTTTGTGATAATTGGATTATCTTTCTTTCCCTATCTTTCTTTCCCTGTCAGGTTTGGTTTCCTCCTCCCTTTCTTAACCTCTTTGCCTTTTGGCTGCGTGCAAGTGGGTCCTTGTGACACACGGGGATGGGGGCAGCCAGCGCTCAACCTGTCATCCACGTGGCTGGCCTTGTACGTAAGAGTTTATGAACAGGTGGAGCTTTCCTTACCTCTTCCCCCTCTCCCTTTTTTCCTTTTCCTTTTTTCTTTCCCTTTTTTTAAGCTCTGATTCACAATGTGACAATATATATTTATGAAAGTGGTAAATATATATATATATCTGGGATCTGTTTTGTTGCCCCTGTTCTCTATTATTTGGCTGTTCCCTTCCTCTTTTCTTTGCCTCTTTGCCTTCTGGCTGTGTGCAAGTGGGTCGATATGACACACGGGGGTGGGGGCAGCCGCCGCTCAACTTACATCCACGTGGGCGGCCTTGTACGCAAGAGGTTCTGAACAGGGGGAGGTATAAGGAAGAAAATAAAAAAGTTAAAAACTGAATTCATTTTGTCCTGTTTTTCTTTCTTTTTTTTCTTTTTTCGCATTTGCGCTCTGATATTCTTGTGACAATATATATATATTGTCACACTGTGAATCGGAGCGCAAAGGTGGAAAAAGGCAAAACAAGGAAAGGAAAAGAAGCAAGGAAGGAAAGCCCCACCTGTTCATCACCTCTTACGTACAAGGCCAGCCACGTGGATGACAAGCTGAGCGCTGGCTGCCCCCATCCCCGTGGTCACAAGGACCCACTTGTACGCAACCAAAAGGCAAAGAGGTAAAGAAAAGGAGGAAACCAAACCTGACAGGGAAACAAAGCAAATGACACAAAGCGAATAACGCATCCCACAGATCAACATATTTTTTCTTTTTCCTTTGCATTCCGTTTCCTTTCAAAATCAACATGAGGCGGGGACCTCATAATTCAACACGGAGTTATCTGGCAGTTTCGCTTACAGCCATCAGGGCTGGAGTTCCCCATAACCAGTTATTATGTATGTAATTTGGCTCATCTTGTATCAACCTAAGCACTTGACTCTCCCTACTCTCAAACCCGAAACATCAACTGCTTATCGTTCTACTTCTTAACTCTTAGCTTGTATCAACCTAAGCACATAACCAGATATTATGTTGTAGATAGCTTTCTCCTTCTCCTAACTACAACTCTCAACTGTCAACTTCCTAACTACCTGGCTACTCTATCCTTCTACTAAACGAGTCTATTTTTAATTCTAATGCACAGGCCTAAAACGGCCTGAAAACCTGGCCATAAAACGGCCGGTTGGAACCACGGGTTCCTAGAAACGCCTTGGCTTTCCACCCCCCCACCCACCAAGAGGCCTCCTGTGGCCAGAGCCAAACTGAGTACCCAGGTTTTTAAAACAAAGCTGCTTCAAGCCTGAACTCCCACACAAACCCCAAAGAAAAGACTGAGCTACATAGGCTAATATAGGAAAGGAGAAAGCTATCTACTCCCCCTCGCTATCCAATCTTACCACTCAAACCAACGAGTGATTTCCAACCTTCCTTGTGGGGCGACACGAGCAATCTTTTCTCCCAAGCACCAGGTCTTGCGGAACCACTTTATACCTGCCTCACTAGAGCCACACGCTGTCTTTCGTCGCCGGTCTGCTCTGATTTGTGTCCCTACCAGTCTTCGAAAGAATATTTCTGCTTGCCTTTCTTGCATAGCCTCCCCTTGGAATCTCTTTCTGTTTCTGTCCCTCCAGATCGTCCACATCATTGATAGCCTCGCCACCTGGGCGACATGCTCCTAACCACCTGTGCCCGTGGTATTTTCCGGTAGATTCCCCAACAAAACCCACCTTCCTGTCATTTCCTTACTCCCTGAAAGGCAATCCAGTGTCTATCCCACCATTCCCACCATTTCTGAGCCAGAGGGCAATCCCACCACAGATGCAACATTAATTGCTCGTCTTGGGTACATCTCCCGCACAGAGTCTGAACTACCATGTGTCTGTCTGCCAGCCATTTTGCTGTTGGTACCGCCAGATGGGATTGAAGCCAAGCTAACGATACCAGCTTTTGTGAACTCTTCGGTTGCTTCCAAAGAGTATTTAGTTCTTTCACTTCTGGGGAGTCCACATCCGGGTAGCCCCTCTGCCACCGCTTGATGACCTTGTCGCTGGAAGGAGGTTTCCTGGCGAGCAGAGAGTGCCAATTGAGGTGACAAATGGTGTAGACCCAGTGTTTGTCTATCTTTTGTCTCCCATCCCCACACATCTGGGTCGATCTTCATGTCCTTGATTGGCGTGGCGTCCGCGACCATTGCTAACGTGTCTGGATACCCTTCCTCCGGAGGCGGGGATCTGCGCACCCTGATTTCCCTCAGGTTATTTAGGCCATATTTTGCTTTGACCCCAGCTATCTGTACTTCAGGCAGTCCAGGTAGCACTTGATCGTAGATTTCCAACCAACGTTTTCCAGGGCACTCCGCCATCCATTCTTGGAGTCTGAAGACCTGGTTAATGTTTCCACCTTCTTCCCTGTACCACGTGTCCACTGGGTTGACTTGAATGCGGGATGGCTTGAATCAGTTCCGCCCAGCCTTTCTTCCTGCATTGGTAGCTGGCTTGAATCAGTTCCGCCCAGCCTTTTGGTCCCAATATAGTTCCGCCCAGCCTTTTGGTGCCAATATAAGAAACCATTGTGGTGGGATGGCTTGAATCAGTTCCGCCAGCCTTTCCTCGTGCATTGTTAGCTGGCCCAGCTGGTCGTGGATCCACTGTGGAGGTCATCCCATAGATCGCCCAACTTGGAGATGCCTCTCCGGACCCACTTCATGCCGAAGGACCTTGCTTGTGAGTTGGCTGCGAAGGGGCAACCATCTGTTTTGAGCATGTACGGGTTGTCAAACAGGTGCTGTCTTTTCACCTCCTCTTTGGAAGATGGCCAGTTTACCAACGAGGGAATTACCTTCCTCCAGGCAGTCAAAACATCCTTCCAGTCGGACGATTTCATTCTCTTGTTCAGAAAGCCATCCATAAAGATGCACACCCAGACATCCTTTCTTCTCGACAGACCCCATTCGTCTGCTAAGATCTCCTCTGCTAGTGCAATCCAGTCTGTGTCTTCACTGTCTTGCCCTTCCTCTGCAACCTTCTTGACCCATTTTGCCAACAGAGCCAGTTCCTGGATTCAGGATAGAAGAGGGAAATGACTAGCCCCCCCCCATCTTCCCTTGACCGGCAAACCACTTCCCAAGAAACTTTTGAGATAAACCCCTTTTTCTTTCTTGGTCACCGTCGGGTGTTCGTTATTCCTTTGAGATTCTTTAGCATTTCCACATAAATTTTCCTTACCGTGCCGACATACCAGAGGAGTGCAAATGCCGAGACAGAGATTGCTAGTGCTCTGCCCACTAGAGAGAGGTGTCTCGCTTTTCCCCAAATTTTCACTCTGTTTACTACCTTCTGTTGCAAAAAATCTCGTTCTGGAAGTGTCGAGCAGTCCAATGCCACCTGTACACCTAAAAATCGTTCCGCATGACCGGCCAAAATTCTTTCAATGCCCCATTTTACAGCACTGTTATAACTTTCGGGCAGGAAGAACACAGATTTTGACCAGTTCACCGCTGCTTCTCAGAGATACCCATACAGCGTCAGGCAGGACTTCAGTGTATGCACTGAGTTCCTCTTATTGACTGACAATGCAAATAAGTCGTCCGCTTGTGCTCGGACTCTACATTCAGTGCCTCCACTTAGCACAAGGCCTTTCGGTTCTGGATGGCTACTGTTGCACAGAAGGACCTCCCAACTGTACAACGAAGAGAGGGGGGGGGGAGGCAGTGGACACCCCTTGTCTCAGTGAACGGGAGAGTTGGAACTGCTGTGACAGCATACCGTTAACACATACTGCTGTGGTCGAGCTACCGTAGAGTGCAATTACCCACCCATTGAAAGAATTTCGATGCGACCCTGATGCAAAAGTTGTTCAGTTTGTTGTTCTGCATAACATAATTCTTTTTCAGTTTATTTTATTTTATTTTTTATTTTTTATTTTTTTTTATTGCTGGGACCACCTTTGGTCCTTGCGGGCAAACAAGGTGACCCGGCTGGTACCCTACAAAGCTCTTTCACAATTTTCTTCCCTTGCAGTTTTCGAGTGGGAGTTGTCCCCGTGGGAATCTGTTAAGATTGTAACGATCCCAAAAAAAAAAAAGATTGTAACGATCTGTTAAGATTGTAACGATACAGAGTAAGAAGATTAGCATGGGCGCTGTGGACAAGGATGATGACCTGCGTAAATCGCGAAATGGTCGGAAAAAAGAAGAAGAAGAAAAAGAAGTTCGAATCCTGAGTCCTTTCGTCGCGGTCATTGTTTGGTTCCAGGCTGTCACTCCGTTTACAGGTCACTTAGTCTCAATGGAAGCTTTTCACAGAAGTACTACTAATTTAAATGAAGGAAGATTTTCGAGCATGCGGCATGGGGGTCTCCTTTGTAACTGCCACGTCAGATGGCAGCGCCACTGCTCTTGCTTCGTTGTCATCAGCCAAAGGCTGGTTGTGGAATGGACTACCCCCTCTGTTTGTCTTTGCTGGTCTCTCTCTCTCTGATGGTACACCTTTGATGTATCTTTCTGATGTCTTGTACCATTCGTGAAGTTTTGGGGTCTAGATACTGGGCATTGTCATCTCTCTCTCTCTCTCTCTCTCTCTCTCTCTCTCTCTCTCTCTACCTCCTTGTAGCCATTCGTGAAATTTTGGGGTCTAGGCACTGGGCATTGACCTCTCTCTCTCTCTCTCTCTCTCTCACACACTCACACACACACACACACACACACGAGCACACCCAGATTCTGTCGGACTTGCCCCATCTGGCTCCTGCGGCAGTTGTTGCCGCTACAAGTGCTGCTGATGCCTCTCTCTCCCCCCTTGTAGCCATTCGTGAAATTTTGGGGTCTAGGCACTGGGCATTGACCTCTCTCTCTGTCTCTCACACACACACACGTGCACACCCAGATTCTGTCGGACTCGCAGCCCTACACTCACATGTCTGCCCCATCCGGCTCCTGCGGCAGTTGTTGTTGCCGCTACAAATGCTGTTGATGCCTCTGCTGCAGCTTCTGCTGTCGCTGCCGTGGCTTCTGCACTGCTTAGTCCTGACTGTTTCTGCCACTGCTGCTGCATTCCTGCTTCTGGGACGCCACTGCTGCTGCGTCCGCTGCTCCTACTATAGCTGTAGACGGCAGTGGCTCCACCAGGAGCTTGCTGAGGGCTTCAAACGCATTTGCTGCTGCAGCTTCTGCTGCCGTTGCCACAGCTTCTGCACTGCTTGATCCTGACTGGTTTTGCCACTGCTCCTGCTGCATTGCTGCTCCTGGGACGCCACTGCTGCTGCTTCTGCGGCTTTAGATATGCCCCTGCTGTTGCCCCGCCGGTCTGTCTATAGCCCTTGTCAGCTGAAATGGGCGAAGGCAATCTGTGGAGCACTATAGGCTCGTTTGCAGTTGTGGACTGCGTCTGATGACTCCTTTAACAACTGGCAGACGGAATCTCTGTCCAGCTCGGGAGCACATCACTTGCCCTTCCACCTAATCACCGACTACTTAGGCTCTCGTGACTATTCTGTCATTGACTCATTGCCTAGTTTATCTTTAGATTCCTTACCTAAAGCAGTGTCGTCGTCGCGTCGACTTATGGTTACCAGACCCCCAAACCCTTCATCCACTGAAAACTCTTGAACGTGTAAAAAGGGACCCGCAATCTGTCGGCCTATCCACACCTAACCATAGTAATTACCGTCTCAATCGTGGCTGCCTAGGAGCAGTCGAAACTAAATAATTGCACAACTTGGACGGGACAGAACCACTTCCTTTTTCTTGCGAATCGAGCTAAACAGGCATTATTAGCTAAAATGGTTCTAGAACCCGAATGGGAAGGGAAGCCCGTTTTGAACCTCACTCTTGTGGATGTAGGCCCTCACGCAGTTGTCAAGATCCCATTGGAATCTCTTGCTAGAGCCATTAGAGCCACTGAACTTTCGTCGATGGAAAGTTCGCTCGCATCAAGCCAAATAAGGAGAGAAAGGTTAAAGAGGGAAAGTAAGTTATGCCCAGACAAGAGTCGATGGCAGCGGTTTTGAACCTCGCTCTTGTGGATTTAGGCCCGGACGTAGTTGTCAAGATGCCATTGAAATCTCTGGCGAGAGCCATTAGAGCCATTAGAGCCAAATAAATATGTGCTTGATGCCGACATTGCGAAATGCTAGTTGCAAGTACTAGATCTGTAACAGGCCTTGGCCAGCCAGGTCTCACCTGTCATGCGGTATGTTCCTTATGGCACCCACCCCCCTAATCAAGTGACCTGGTCTGTGAAAACAGACAGTGCTTGGTACCCAGGCCCTGTGTCCCAGTATAGGTCACTGGTGAGCACACTGCTGGGCAACTACCTTCATTATAGCTGTATTTAAGACGGATGTATAGTCCAAATAGAGCTATAATGACCGTACGTTCTATTTGGGGGGGACGGTGGTAGTCCGGGTGTCCCAGTACATACTAGTTTCTTAAGGCCGATGCCATTCTTTCCACCAGGCATCTGCAGGGATCACTTAGTGCTGCAAGGGGATGTTGCGCCCCATGCAAGGGGGGATGTTGGTACGTGTATGCATGAGGGAGTGTGAGCAGCGCAATCTGTATCCTCCTGTGATTAATTGGGCACTTGCTTGTCCTCAGTTAAATCCTTTCCAAGGAGTTGGACAACACGAGCAAAGCGCCTCTCCACTCGAGAGGTTGAATGCCATTTGAAACACCTTGTTGAAATGACTCCGAGTCCGCAAGAGGAGATTTATTGGGTCAGCAATGCACAGACGAGCAAGTTAGGGCACCTTCTCGTTATGATTGCCGGACCACCTCAAACGGTGGTGTACGCTGAATAAGTACGCATGCGTGGACAATACTGTGACCTGCAATTGAGTACCTCCGCCACATAGGCAAATTGTGCTCACGAAGCTTGGATTCTTCTACAACGTTGCTTCTCGACGCCCTGACTGCGTATGCCAGTACCTACCGCGTTTTGAGGCGGCTAACACGGTCGATGAATAGCTGTGTTGTGCAGGGCTGTATTCGTTCGCATCAGAAGGGGCCTACGACCCCCTGAGGTACTGGTGGTGTAACGCCTTGCGGACGTCAATTCCGTCTCACCAGTGCTCACCATTCAAAACACATTGGTGGGCTTAAACACTGTCATGTGCATTCACTGTTGGGATTAAACACAGTCATGTGCATGTGCGATGATGTCTGAAAACTCTTCACGTTTGCTGACAGTTGCAGAGAGAGTAGTTTGTGGATCCTGGGCCAATTCATAATAAACGCCACGAGGTTGAATGTTGCTATGTCGGCTGGATTTGAGAAAAAATAATATCCGGGCGAGTACTTGAGCACTGTGCAGAAGCACTCCTGGGCCAATTCATAATAAACGCCACGAGGTTGAATGTTGCTATGTCGGCTGGATTTGATAAAAAAATAATATCCGGGCGAGTACTTGAGCACTGTGCAGAAGCACCAGAAGAAGGCATTCCAGTCTTAACGGTTTTTTTTAGCCGTGGGAGGAAGTTAGGGAACAAGGAAAAAGGAGGGGAGCGACGTGACACAAAAGATGGAGAGTGCAATCACTGCAATGATATGGACCCCTGTGTGTGTACTGATTCACTACACACACACACACACACACACACACACACGCACACACACACACACACACACACACACACACACACACACACACACAGAGAGAGAGAGAGAGAGAGAGAGAGAGACAAGGAGGGGAAGACTTTTTCAAGAGACGGCTCCCAATGTAGTTCGAGCCTATGAGAGAGATAAGAAAGGTGAAGGTCCTGCCTTGGACTGAAGTATTCTCGGAGGACCTCGAATTTAGGCCGGCGGGAGTGAAACGGTTTTCACCTTTGCAGTAACAGATGCAGATCCCAGGGCTTGATCTCTAGACCTTACCTCACCCGTGTACAGTATTCAGTCGACCCTGTGTGTTTTGAACCCGTGACCTGTGTTTTGGTAGCTGACTGTTGTCTCTCATTGGTCTGTGTAGGTGTCGGGTCTTGAACCATAGGTCTGGCATTTCAAGGCTGAAGCAGCTACGACCTTGACCTTTCCAGACTGTAGCAGCCACGACCTTGACCTTTCAGAGTTGCAACAGCTATGACCTCTACACAGCTATAACCCCTACTCGACAGACCTACGGTTCAAGACCCGACAGCCACACAGACCTACGACAAACTACAGTCAGCTACCAAAACACAGGTCACGGGTTCAAAACACACACGGTCGACTTAATACTGTACACGGCTGAGGTAAGGTCTAGGGATCGAGCCCTGGGATCTGCATCTGTTACTGCAAAGGTAAAAGCCGTCTCACTAGAGTTCTCAATACCTCGGGCACGAGTGACCAATGCCTTCGTTGTTTTCTGAGTCAATGTTGACATTTCAGAGCTCAATGCACTTGTGAAATTTGTAATTGAATTTTCTTCATTACCTGACGTTGAAAACACCGACAGTGTCACCCATTGGTCTGTCAGCCTTCAACTCATCCAATGCCATGTTTGGTGTGTGTTTGTGTGTGTGTGTGTGTGTGTGTGTGTGCAGTAATGATCCGTACTGTATGAAGGGTTGGGCGAAGTCCCTTAATGCCGAAGACAAGATTGAGTTTTATGGTGATTTTGATGGTCGATTCAACAAAATGCTTGGGCTGGATATGGATCTCTCATCTGGATTGCTTGGCCATAGATCGAAGAGATACTCCATGCTAGTCGACGACGGCAAAATCAACGTGCTAAATGTTGAGGAAGTCCCGTCGAACTTTAAGGTGTCGGATGCCGATACGATCCTGAAGAGTCTTGACTAGGACCTTGAAACTTGCAGTGTTAGATGTGTTGCAGGACAGGTGGGTGGCGGCTAGCAGCCTAGCACGAGTGTTTTCATCTGACTATCCAGTTAAGCACGACTTCTTCATGAACTCCTTCATTTGTAAGCGATGCCCCTCTGTCTGTCTGTGTTTGTTAATGCGCAGGGTTCTGTGAATACCCTTGTGCATGTTGCAGATGTGTTGAAAGAGTGCATTTGGTCTACCATTGTGGCTATATACAGCGGAGAGTGTTGGAGATACACCATGCATGCAGTTCATGCTCTGTGTCTGCTGTTATTGTGTTACCACCGTCTGCACTCGAATAGAACGCCTGGTCATGATAGCCTACGTACAGCGATAATGACCGGGTGTTGTATTCGGCTGAAGATGGCAGGAAATATGCATTGTTCTCTCTCGTGGTTCGTGTTGCTCCCCACGAATTAGATTGGAGCCTTGTTCCCATTAAAAAAAAGGTTCTTAATTACTGCGATTGTTTGTCACAAGTCAGCTCACAGTCAGCTTCTTCTTCTTCCTCCTCCACCTCTTCTTCTTCTTCTTCTTTTTCTTCTTCTTCTTCTTATTCTTGTAGTCAGCATCTGGGATGAGGGCACTGTACAAAATCTGCCGTGATGTCGAAGAGGGTCACTGCCATGATGTCAAAGAGGGTCACAGAATCTTCGTCGGAACCATCAGTACATACGCGATCCCCTTTCGCCCAGTCTTCACTCGAATAGAACGCCTGGTTATTATGGCTGCATCTAGACTGAAAGTTGCCCCAAATACGGCTATAATGACCAGGCGCTCTATTCGGGTGAAGACGGTAGTGAAATAATTTAACCGTCATCTAACTACCAGTTACGTTGTGTACTATTTGCGCATGCATCTTTCCTTGTGGAAGATTGTGAAAGTCCCGCATGCAAGTTCAGCTACGCGACGGAGTGCTCTTTGGTCAGCCAGTTAATTGTGCATGTTTTATCCCTTGCTGAAAAATTTGCGCCCAAAGCCGGGTAATGGCCCCGTATCTCAACTTTCATGGGACGTTGGGCCCAGTTCGACAGAGTGCGCTCTACAGTTAGCTAGACGAGACTCAAGGGGTCTGGCTCCACAGCTGTCGACTCTAGAAGTTTTTGGCAGTAGTTTGACAGTCGTCCAGCCTGCAAACTCTCTGGAAATTCTAGAGACCCCAGGCTGAGGAAGTTGTGACAGCTCTCGAAAGGGGTTTTTGAGAGTCCCTTTGGAGAGTTGAGCGAAGGGTGGAGTCGAGAATAGCGGAGCGATGACCCAATGTCCATGGGCTCTGTTTCCTCCCAACTGCGGTTGCCCACAAGGCATTAGAATGCTGTGCTGTGCTCTGCTGTGCTTGAAGGAACTGCACAAATGAGAAGCCAGCCTTGTGTCTTGAACAATGGCTTTCAAGTTTCAACGTATCGAGGATGGAAACTGGATCTAGAGGCATATGGGTGAATCATCACGGTTTACGGGCGAGGATGGAAGCAGATGTGTATGTTTGAGGGCGTTACTTCTTACACCACTGCAGTGCATTAAAGCCCGACTGTTCTTGGCGTTCTCTGGATTTTTTTTTTTTTTTTTTTTTTTTTTTTTTTTTTTTTNTTTTTTGTTGTGTGTGTGTGTGTGTGTGTGTGTGTGTGTGTGTGAGAGAGAGAGAGAGAGAGAAAATGTACCCCCCAAACAAAACAGGTCGGCAGAACACCCAATGTCTTGTCCTTTTCTCCCATTCTGCTTACGGTTATGTATATATGTATATAATATATATATATCGTTGCAGAGAACTGCCCGGTGAACTGTGGGAAGAAGGAGAAGACGACAGCAAACGAGTGGTTGTGACAGACTTCTTCGATGAAGCTCCACCCTCAAGTCCCCTAACCGATGATATCATAAGTGATCATCCACCTTAACCGCGGTTGCAGTTGAGCATCAACCACTGCCCTAAAATGGGCACCAACCTCTGCCCTCAAGGTACCTGTGACAAAAATAAAAGCAGACGATTGCTCACCCACACCAGGAAGAAAACTCCACAGGCTGATTGCAGAAGAGAACTTCATATAACCCTCGAGAACACTCACGAAATATAGAAAGGTCTGTCACAGCGAAAACGTAAAAACGTAACACTCCAGAGAGACGCTGATGGCACTCCATACACAGCCTGGCCTGGCCATGTTTAGACAGCCCTGACCGGTGCCGTTCTGTCTGACCGGAGAAAACAGTCGCCGGGAGCTAGTGATGTCGTAGTATATGTAGTGACATTGTAGCCGTGCAGAACTGCCTGGTGATCCATAGATCGAGAGGGAGAAGAGGACGTAAAACGAGGCATGTCGAGGAATTATAAACGAGAGAAACCTTGAAACGAAGCACAAATAAGGAGAGAAAAAAGAACGAACTGTGTCCTTCGGGATATCCGTTAAAATTGAAATGATACAGAGAAGGTTAATTAGCATGGCCCCTGCACAAGGATGACAGGCATACTTCGAGAAACGATCCAAATAAATTTTAAAAAAAGAAAAGAAAAAAGAAAAAAGAAAAAAGAAAATAGAACGAACTGTGCAGAATAAGGCAAATGAATTGTTGGCATGTGCTTTGTGATGTCCTGTTTTCCCCCCCCCCCCAATTGTCTCACGAATTGTGCTCTTTTAATTGATAGATGTGTGCCAATGTATAGAGGCACACTAAAAAAGGGCAAGGGGAGCTGAAAGCAGAAGAATTAGAGGAGACACCTCCAAAAACTTTAAGGAAAGAGAAGAAAGAACTGCAGGGGAGCAGGCAAAAGGATGGTTGCGGTGTGCTTCATGCGGGGTTGTGTACCTTTTTCTTTTCCCCCCCTAAGCTACTAGGGTTGGGGATGCATGATGCATTATTTCTGGGCAGTTCTGTCCCTCCCCCCCCCAGGTCTTCAACCCCAGACAGCCCCCCACTGTCCCTCGAACAACCCTTGCACACATGCGTGATGAGTTGGTGAAAGTCAGATGACACAGTGTGGCACAGTCGTGCTTTCTTTGCGGAGTTGTGTATGGTGAACATGACTGTGTATGAACACCCACACACACAAACACACACACACACACACAAACACAAACACACAAACACGCACACTCACGTGCATACAGAGTCCGCTGTCCGCAATGTGGCGACTATGATTGCATGTTCGACTAATCGAGCCAGCTACTATGATTGCATGTTCGACTAATCGAATATGTCACACGCACGCACTCTCACACTCGGTGCATACACCGTCTGCTGTCTACAATGTGGCGATGATTTTCCCAGTGCTCCGGGATTGTGAGTGCACCACACCCGAGGTGCGGCCACCGGTGCATCATTCACGCTCATAGCAGCCCGCTATGAGTGCGAATGCGACTGGTCGATATGTCACACGGTGTGGCCACCTGTGCAGCATTTGCACGACTAGCAGCCGCTATGAGTACTCAGTGGATACAGAGTCCGCTGTCCACAATGTAGCAATGGTTTTGCAGTGTTTCAGGATAGCGAGTGTACCTGCACGTGAGGTGCAGCCACCTGCGCAGCATTCATACGACAGCAGCCGCGACGAGTGCAAGTGCGACTGACTGATCAACCTCCATTTCGTGCGACTGACCCCCTACCCCCCCCCCTTACCCCCCCCTCCGTCCCAGTTCCGATTCACTTCACCCCGACAGCTACCCCGCTCCAAATAACAATTACCTACCCTCTGATCCTTGACGGAACCCCCAACTGTTACTCCGCAGTAGCCTGCTCCGCCGGTGAATACGGAGAATCCTATCGTCTCCCGCTAACTCCCTCTTCCTCCCTCCTCCCTCCTCTCTCCTCCCTCCTCCCTCTCGTTTCTCATGTCTCCCTCTCCGTCTCTCCTCCCTCCTCTCTCCTCTCCTCCCTCCCCCCTCTCGTTTCTCATGTCCCCCTGGCTCCCTCTTCCTCCTTACTCCCTCCCAGAGTGTGGTTTGTTTATATGATTGACCGTCTGTTTTGTATCGCATGCGCCCAGGTTCATTGCTTATGAACGAGCATCATTAAGAGGACAAACAACATATAAGGCAGCGATCAGAGAACAGACAGGAAGCTTTTAGCAGGACAGTCCCTCCCCCTTATTCAGCATTCCTGACGCGTGCAAGTGGGCGCTGAAGGAAAATCGACATGGCTATCCTTGCCTTTTGCACGAGAGGCACAGTAATAAGGGAGTAGCCCCCCCCSCCCCCCCCCCCCGGAAAAAAAAAGGAAAAAAAAAGGGAGTAGCTGAAAGTATACGTTAAAGATCAAGCAAGGATAACAGGTGCATAAGCATGAGTGAAAAATGATTCAAGGGCCACCGATGAAAGACGGTGATGTCACAGCTTTTGAGTGCTTGATTATGTGTGCTATGGAAAATGTAAGGTAGAAGCATTTATCTCTATGTCTGGGCGGAAAGTGGTTGTTATGGTGAGACTTGGCACTTGGAATGAACTGACATCAACCAGACTGTACTGTATTGGATTTGGGTCCACTCATCTGGATGGAAAAGATGGTTTGTTATGGTGATAATCCACAACAGACACAGACTCACACAACGTAGGCAAAAGCACACAACCTCCTGATGAGTCGGTGAAAGTCCGATGAAACAGTCTGTTCGGCATGGTCGTGCCTTTTTTGAGTGTATAGCGAATATGACAACAGAGGCGCACATGCAATGAAATGCAAACACGTGCACGTACACACGCAAACACGTGCACGTACACACCCAAACACTTGCACGTACACACCCATGCAAACACGTGCACGTACACACCCAAACACACAGTCACGAAAAATCTGTCATGCATGGACATTGCACATGCCCACACACACGAAAATACAGTTATCGGGATGGAGAAGGGGATTGCCTGGTGGTAATCAACAGAAACTGACAAACACAGGCAAACACACACACACAAACACACATACTCGCTTGGTCACTGTCACACGAACGCATACACGCATGCAAACAATCACACAGTCACAGATGTGCATCGTGAGGCGGCTGTTGTGGATGCGGCTGCTCCGCGTGCTCATGCTGCTTTTGATGCTGGTGGAGAATCAACGGCTGCGTACGGCCTTGCTGCACATCTGCCAAATGGTCCTTCCTCGTTGCCCCTCAGCGCTTCGTGCAAATGCTCTTCTGATGTGTGAACATCATCGCACAATTCGAGGCCCCAGCTTCGCTGCCTGCTGCTCCCCTGTATGTGTCTCTCTGCATGCTGCTCCTTTGTCTGGGAGTTCTCTCCTTGTGTCTCCGCTGGCTGCTGGTCTCGAATAATAGCTGGCCAAGTGTTCGTGTGTGTGTTTGCCATGTAGATGGGAGTTTCCTACCTAAGCGGTGTCTATGACTTGGTAGAGATCCAGATCTCTCATCGCTATCACCCAACCTCCGTGTCATTGTTGGCCGCCTCCTCGTCTGACTTTCCCTGTCCCTCGATGTAGCAATAATCCTGCTTGCCACATAAGCAACACTGTCAATACAAGCCTCCTCCTCCTCCTGCAGGATCTGCAAGATGTCCCACCACATCCTCTTCGTGCTCCTCTCTTACCTCACCCTCCAAATAAACAATGATCCAAACCACTCACTCGACAGCGTCAATCCGACCATCCGGATGTACTTTTCAACCTCGGGTTCCTGTGCAAGTAGACGTGTTTGTCAGAGCAGTGATGTTTGAGGTTGTTTCTCGACTTCGTCCGCGTGGCGCAAGAGCCAGCAGGAGAGAAAGTACTCCCGATGCTCAACACCTGGACTGAAACTATTGCACTTCAGAATGTGACCTGCTGCATGGCCTCCGATTCCCATATTGCGTTATCTGTCTGCACTAGTTGCATCGCCACTGGTGTGCGAAGGGCGTGATCCTGCCAGGCTGCAAATCATACAATTGATACTGGCAGGCGTCGAACTCTGCTGTCCTCTTCCACGCAAGGAGTCAGTCCACCACATCGGTGAACTAACATCAACGCCACCCCCTGGCCCTGTCACACGCTGACGAAATGCGGATCCAGCAAGGAATGCAAGGAATAGACTAATGCAAGACACAAACTGTCATCGGGCATGGCAGAACAACACAGACTCTGGAAGAGACGAGACAGGAAGACAGCTCCGGAAGGCCAGCTAAAGGAATCTGGAGCAAGGGTGAAGGGAGGCGGCATGATGAAGGATCGCCACCTGACACACAGCCTTATCCTGGAGTACGAGCCAAGAAGCTGATACCCAGCCAGTGTCGCGGCATGATGAAGGNCCCAGCCAGTGTCGCGGCATGATGAAGGATCGCCACCTGACACACAGCCTTATCCTGGAGTACGAGCCAAGAAGCTGATACCCAGCCAGTGTCGCAGAGAAGGCCGGGACTGAGAAGGGACTGAGAAGCACTGAGAAAGATATGTGCCCTGCGGCTTGCGAGGCCGAACCAAGCTCTTAACT